TCATGAAGCAACAATTCTCTCTGGATTCAACTGGACATATCTAGGTGCACACAAAACATGAAATAAAATAAATAAAAATTCAGACACTTTCACTCTATAGACTACACATATTAAAGTAGAATGAGAGAGTGCTTTCATTCCTTTTGCATCTTTCGTTCATATACAAAATAGACGTGAGTGAGTGAATAAAGTGACTTCTCGTATGCAGACAGAAGACGAACAAGACGAAAAAATAAAGATGGCGTCGACAATAGAATAGAAAAAGAAAAGAAAGTACTGAACTCGAATATTTGAACGTTTTCGGATGTAATTGGTAGAATTTTCATTAAGTCACAGGATGAAGAATTCGACCTTCAACAAAGTTGAAAATTGCAGATAATATGACTTTGGTGCAAATGTCTATTTATGTAATCCCTATAACTACGATTACGACATACTACTACCCATTACTGGTCAGTACTACCTAGTACTACCTTGTACTACTTAGTAACTCAGTACTACCTAGTACTACTGAGTTATATCTAGTGGTCCCTAGTGCTACCTAGTACTACTCAGTAACTCAGTCCTATCCAGTACTACTCAGTATTGCTCTATACTGAAAGACATACCTTTAGACGCTTTTCTTTTAATGGCCCCCGCTCAGAAATGTTGATTTTCGGTCAAAAAATCGGTTTTGAGATAAGCACAGGGAAATATAGCCTGATGTGTCTACTTTCAGAATTTGTATTGCTTTTGGTTACCGTGAGAGAGCCACATAAAGTATGTCTGGAAACTCTCTGCTTGAAGTGAAATCACACACATCAATACTGTCTTTATTTTAAAAACCAAAAAACGGAGAAAAACGTGCGTGTGAACGGTAAGATTTTATTCCCCCTCAAAACGTTACACCGGTATATATATATATATATATATGCGAGTACAATGGAAAAGAAAAAGAAAGTATTGGACGTCCGGTACTACCGGACGTCCAATACTTTCTTTAATTCTTAATTCTTTTCTTTTACTATCTAAGTAGTAAAAGAGAAAGAGATAGTAAAATCACAGTTATCATTTACTGAAAAAAGAAAAGTATCCGGCAACAACGAGAGAGATGATATGTAAATATGTATGTCTGTGTGAAGAGAGAGAAATATAGAGAACAAAGAGAATGAATGACGATCACGCGTCTGGCATATGAAAGGCCATAAGCCTGTAACATACACCCCCTTACAAAAGATGAAGAGTGTCTGTATCGGAAAAAAAAGCAAAGATGTTCACTCGAAAGAGTAGAGCACATGTAGAGACAAACCGAAATGAAAAGTAAGGAAAGAATGTATTATGTTAATTTTTATGTATAAAACCGAGAAAAAAACCGCTAAACAGAAGGGAAAAACTGTTTTTTTTGTTTTTTTTTCAAATGTGCAATAATAAAAACGAGTCCTGCAGTTCTGGATGGTCGTTGTTGTTTATGAACTGATGATAATGTTCTTGATTAAATTGGTCTTGATCTAAGGCTTGTTCAATCCATTGGTGATATTCTTGCTTTCCCTAGACAAAAATTTTTTGCTAAAACTGATAGGATTCTTATAAGAATCTTATCAATTTCTTATATAAGATTGTTTAAGATTTCCCATCGACAGTCGTAAGTGTCTTATAAGAATCTTATAAGATTTTCATAAGAGGCTCGTAAGAAAAACATAAGAAGGACCAAAAATTCTTATGTTATTAATATCTACTAGAAGGCATCTTATGAGTCGACTTTTACAATTTCTGTTATGATTAAGTTACTTCCACTTGCTCTCAAATCTTTTAGGCTAGTAAGTGGCCGTAACGGTCATTTATTCTGATGACTTGTGAGTCGTATTCGCAGAACTGTTATTTTTAAAAATATAAAACTTTTACTAGGATGTATTAACTAGTTAATCGGGCAATATTTTACGCGTAACTTACACCCCTATCTAAAATAACTTGGTATAATAACATAAACAGAGTAAGCACTTATAGCCTAATGGTTAAGATCGGGCAGGTGAATGGAATATATTACGAGTTCGATCCTCGTTAAGTGCGATTTATCTTTTTATGAACCTCGTATGAAAATCTTATCTGATCCTTATAAGACACTTACAACTATCGATGGGAAATCTTAAACAATCTTATATAAGAATCTTATAAGATACTAATAAGAGACTTATAGGTTTCTGGTAAGATTCTTATATAAGAATCGATCTAGGGTTGTACCAATAAACAATGTTTGTCCAACCATATTGATGTTTGTATACCGTATACCCATTGAACGTAAAATTTGTTTGACCATTGTTGTTGAAAAACCAATACCTTGAGTCTTGTCGTTGAATACTTGTCGTATCATCTCCCATCGATATCGGTTTCGTCGACTCCAGTGGCTTCCTTTTCGGTTTTTTATCTTCTGTTCATATTGTGTACGTTGTTTGACTACTTTGGGTTGTAAATGCGATATGTTGACGATTTTTGATCTTGGTGGTATAACGATTTTGCATTGTAAGTGTGGTTGTTGGTGACCTTGTACATAATGATGATTATCTTCTTCTTCTGCTGTTTGTTCCAATGGTTCTTCATTTTGTACATGAAGAACTAGATCTAAATTCATTGAATCGTGATCTTGCTGTAGGACTTGTGGCGATGGTTCGTCCTGATTATCGGTTTGCTGTTGTTGATCTTGTACGGCTGGTTCTTCATTTTGAACATGAAGAACCATATCCGTAAATGTTTGATCATAATTTCGAACCTGTTCTAATGTCCAGTCATGGAATATCGGATAAATCAATTTTGCTACGGCCAAACAGTCATACGCTGCATTAATCGTTCACGTTCTTGTGGCGACATATAAGCACCCAAGACCGTATCAAGTCCAACTGCCCAATTTGCCAATGTGCTTGATTTATCTAAATATTGGCCAAATGTTCTTGCTATGGCCATCTGAAGACCCCACTGGTCATTAGCTGCCTTGTATGGACGATGAGTACGTGGACAGAGACAATCGTTGTTGTGGATCGGTTTTTGTCGTTGACATTCTTCGGTGTGTGGGTGTCGATCATTATACCACGCTCAAAAACGAGGTTGAACATTGAATACTTTTGCTGGAATATCGGAAAGTTGAAACAAGCCACTGTGTGAAAATGGTTCCAGTTCGGCACGTAAATGACCCCATGTATAGATGGTGTTGGTTGATTTAAATATCGTTTTCATCAATTTAACCAGCTCATTAAATTTGTGCACTTTGTTGGTTTTATTTGGCAGGTGATTCACTTGAATAAATAAAATTATTGATGGGGCCGTGAACGATATGCCTTGGATCTGAATCAGTGCTGGTTTGTGCGAATAGTAGTCGGACTCGGTGTCGATAATGTATGTTGATATGTTTTCTAGTTTACTGTTTAATTGTTGTATGGCGGATATCGACCGTAATTTATGCACATGATGGATGTTGTATTGTTTTTTAGATACATAAGATGGATCTAATTGTTTTAGTTCGTTTTCTTGATTTTCTCGTCGTTGGCGTTAACGCGCGTTTCTTTGCTGTTTGTGGTTGTTGTATTTCATGTCGATGTTTCGGTAGTGATCTTGAGGATGACTGATGTTTGAATATTGAATTCGATGTTCGTTGATGTTCTGATGTTGGATTTGATAATTGACGATATGTAGGTGATATATCCCGATGTTGGTGATATCTAGATGGTGGATGTCGATTCATGTTGTGAATAATATAACGAGAGTAGAGAAGTAATAATGAGAATAATAGCAAAAAATAGTATATCTAGAGAAAACAAATAAGAATAAATCTTTATTATCTTTTCCTTTCGGCGTCAGGAAAATTAGCTGCTCTTCCTCTCACTACCAGGAAAATTTAAAAATCTTTTCCTCTCAAGTTCCGGAAGACATGGCATTTTTTCCTCTCAAACAGGAAAATCTCTAGTCCTCTGTTCCCAGGCGAAAGTTTCGGATGAATTTCGCTATAGGGATTCACAATTCGGTATCATTCATATCTATTGTAATTAGTATGATCAATGATGTAAATGCCAAACTATTAATTTCATACCCATCGCATAATTTTTGTTGAGAATTAATCGTGAATGTTTAAGTGAGATTAATAATGCTGTTAATCAGTAAGAAATATAAATAGTTGACCGTATAACAGCCCCTCCTGGCAGTGGAGAGTGGAAAGCTACTTCTCCAACAGGCATTGCTGGATCACATGAGTGACCACCCATAAGCAGACCGATGCAACAATGTTGTGCATTATAATTCCCATTAGTCGGCTGTTGACGATTGTTTTAACTGATATTTAGACGTTCGAATATTGGTATGATGGAATCGACGATGATTTGTTTTGTCAAAGTTGTTTTTTTCGTGTGTTGCACTATATATGTTTTGTCGGCCAATCGTTGAGCGATTTTAAATGGACCTTCATGGTGAACATCAAATTTTCGTCTATTATTTATTGTTTTGACTAGAACCAAATCACCTAAGTTGTATACTAGATTCGATCGATGTAAATCGTAACGTTTTTTCGATTGTTGTCGACTTTTTATGATGTTCTTCTTGGCTTCGTTTTCTAATGATGATATATATTTTTTTAATTTTGTGATGTGCTCTGGATGTTGTTCGAGCGAGACTACTTCTGATTGCCTATCAAATGGTAACTTTGGTGATTTGCCAAATACCATTTCAAACGGGATTTGTTTGGTGGTTGAATGAACGGTGGCATTATAATTAAATGTAACAAATGACAGTTGCTCGTCCGAATCCGTTTTTCGTTGATTGGATAATGCAGCTATTTTTGCATCCATTGTTTTAGTTGTATCGCTCCACTTGACCATTGATTTGTGGATGGTAGGGAGTCGAGTATAAGTGGGTAATACCAACTTGTTGTAATAAATTGTTCATCATTGCGGAGGTAAAATGACTTCCATTGTCCGTTAATATGCAACGTGGTGTGCCGTATTTGCAAATAACATCTTCCTTGATGAATCGCGCCACCGTTTGCGCGGAACAGTCACGTGTAGCTCGCGTAACCACGAATTTGGATAAAACGTCAGTTATTACAATGATGTATTTATGTCCATGGTGTGTCATCGGTGCTATTGGTCCGTGCTAGTCCATTAACAGTAATTCCCATATTCCATTTGGAGGTTTGATTGGTTTCAACTGTTCATCTAGTTTTCGTCTGATGGGGTTGTGTTGTAAACATTTAATGCAGGATTTAATGTAATTTTTAACATCCGTACTCATTGTTGGCCAATAATAACGATCGCGGATTTCTTTAGTGGTTCGGTGGTGGCCAAAGTGTGCACCATTAGCGGGCGTATCATGATATATCTATAATATTGATGTACATATGCGACGTTTTGGTATGACTGGAACCGGTTCCGTTTTTTGCTGCCGTCGTTTTAGTACCCTACAAAAAAATATTTTATCGGCACTGGTTGTGCACCGGTGCCGAATAATTTTTTTTCCGGGCACCGATGCGCACCGGTGCCGAATAATTATTTTTTCTGGGCACCGATGCGCATCGGTGCCAGAAAGAATGTAAAAATCTCGCACCGATGCGCACCGGTGCCGAAGTTTTGTTTTCAATCACCATTTTGTTTTGTCAATTTCTATCTATATTAACGCTACGGTCTACTTCTAATATTTCGAATGTCTTTCTGACTTCATTTTTTCCTTCTCATAAGAGAAGTGCCGAGGCAATGCCGCATGGTTTTGGCATGTCGATGTGGTACTGATCAGTGCCGCACTCTAACACAAAATTCAGCATAAACAACCATAATAAAGAACTAATTAAATTGATTAAATAAATTATCAGTGCGGCACCGATTTTTGCTAGTGCGGCACCCATGCGGCACTGATTTTACCAGTGCGGCACTCTTTCAGCAGAAATATATCGGCACCGGTGCGCACGGGTGCCAATCGGCACTGGTTCGGCACTTGCTGGGCACGGGTGCGCACCGGTGCCAACCAGTGCCAGTGACCGATGGCATGCCATGCGCACCGGTGCGCACTGGCAGTGCCGCACTGGAATTTTTTTTATAGGGTATATCATCTAGGATAACGAATTTCTTGTTATATTTTTTTATATTGGTTACGATATGTTGTATGTGATAATCTGAACGTTGTTGTTCACGCATATCTTCCTCTGTAAATGGAATAATCATATTATCATCGATCTTCACTGTTGTTTGCTGCTTATTTTTATTGTCTGTCTCTTCATCTGGTACATGAAGACCTATTTTTGGTGTAATTTTCGTTTGTCCTGGCTCTTCATCTCGCACATGAGGAGCTTTAGTCTGTATTTTGTTTGCTTGAGCACGAGTTGTTACAGCCGCCACAATTTGTGGTGTTGACGTATCCATCACAATAATGTCTTCTGTTTGTGTTGCCGTTGACATCAATTGAACATAATCATCCGGATCTTCTTCACCCTGATCGACGGGAGATCTGGACAAATAATCGGGCATTGCATTATCGTCTCCTCTAATATGATCAATTGTGTAACGATATTGTTGTAGTTTCAATCGCCAACGCTCACCTTTCGTGCTCTTCTGTGCTCTTTTATTCAATGCTTATAATGGATTTTGATCCGTTTGAATTTGAAACTCAACCCCATCTACATATTGATGTCATTGTTCAATCACCTTCAATATTGCTTAACGTTCTTGTTCAATTGTACACCAGTTTTGAGGTCTCAGGGTGAATTTTTTCGATAAATACGCCACTGGTCGTTCTTTTCCATCTGGATAAGTTTGCAATAATACTGCCCCGATCCCCATTTTTGAAGCATCCGTTTGCATTTTATATCTCAATTGATTGTTCGGGAGATGCAGGACGAGATCCATCGTCAATATATGTTTTAACTCATTGAATGAGTTTTCTTCTTCCTTCGTCAGTGTAATTGGTGTTATTTTTGAAAAGGAATGAAAGCACTCTCATTCTACTTTAATATGTGTAGTCTATAGAGTGAAAGTGTCTGAATTTTTATTTATTTTATTTCATGTTTTGTGTGCACCTAGATATGTCCAGTTGAATCCAGAGAGAATTGTTGCTTCATGA